GCAAGATCACCACTTCTCGGGAACTCAACAAGCTGTCGAGAGTATGCCGTAGTGCTGCTTCGTGAGGTAGGCTTTCATTTCGTTTTTTCTAGCTTATAAGTGGTGCACATGGCGTGGAGCACTGAAGGGCCAGAACTGTGTTGGATGTGTTTTTCAATGTCTTTTGTCATTGAACGTGGTGTGGCAGGGCGTGTACGATGCTTCCCAGCACCCGGGTGTGGTGGCCAAGAGGCGTACAGAGGAGGAGGTCATGGAGGAGTTCATCTCCAGCTTCGAGGGGGAGATCAAGGATGGCAAGGTGAGGTGGCCGAACAGCCTCGGCCTGCTGTTCTGTCGCTATTGTAGCGGGCGGGTTACCCCCCGAACCCTGCGTGTTGCTGTACCCCTCTCGAGGGCTTGAAACAGCTGTTATTTTATTAGCATGCAGACATTCGTTTGTTCGTCTTAAAGATTTGTTGTCGTTTGTGGACATCTTCATGTGTAGCAAGAGTGCGTGAGCTGCATGGCAGACACCAAGCCCGGCGTCATTTGCGGCCGTGTACAACTGTGCCAGAGATTTGGGTAAGTTGAATTGAGGTTGTACAGGAGGTCATCGGCCGACGTACTCTTGTCGGCACCCTGATAACGAAGTCAGCTACATCGGGGTATTTAGGTTATTTGAAATGGTCTTAGATGATGTTGGGGCCGTCTTACTGTCGTGCATCCAACGCAGTTTTCGTGCAGAAGTCGCAAGTTCTGTTCTACGAAGTCCATGTTGTTATAAATGTTCAATACGAAGCATATTTATTGTGCTTTTCGGGCCTACTGTCGTTGAAATCCTGACCCCGCGCATCGCATTTTTCCACGCTTTGTGCATTTTGTGTGTACCTACTTGCACATCTTGTATAGGTCACACCGGAGGAGTGGTGTCGTTACTACTCCATGCTGTCAGCGGGCATGCCCAACGACGACGACTTCGAGCTCATGATGAGGTACGTATACAACATGCGTGGTATCGTTGCCATACTGTTCCTCGTTGTGGCTGGTTAGTGCTTGCGACTTTACTGCTGCGTCTGCCGCGTGGAATTTTCTATTAACTTACGACGTGTTTCTCAAGAAAAGGTTCTCGTTGATGTGATACTGCTGCACCAGACGACGAGGTGTTATTGTTTGAGTGACTGCCCATGACACCGTGTGGAAATGATCGAGGACCTGATCGCGTTGATGTTGCACCTTCTTCGGGTGCAAGTATTGAAATCTGGATAGCCACGTGGCCTAACCCTTTCTTTCTGTTGTTTCTGTCAGAAACGCCTGGCATCTGCCGGGGGGGGTCGGTGCGATGGCCAGCACGACAGGCAGGAGAGTGCTAGCCACGAGGGCGGACGGCAGCCAGACGATCGAGGAGGTGAAGGGGGCCGCGGGCATGGGCAACTCAGACAAGAAGGCTATGCTCAACAGCCTTCGCTCACAGGTCGGAGATGCGAGGATGACAGGATGACTATGCTATGGTATTGTCCCTGAGCGAGAACACAGATTTTTTTTATGATGGAACAGTCCACCCCGCTTTTAAGGACATCTTCTATAATTGTATATCTGTGGGGGGGGCTGCTTCTGAGTTTTCTTTGTCCTTAAAGCGGGGAGTGGGCTCAAGATGAGTGTCCTTACAGCGAGGACGACTGTAAGGCGGATATTATTTTCTCAACAAACCATTGATGGGACTCAGCGTTCGAGTTTTTTTTTGCTGTTCTGTACCGCGCAGAAAGCTGCCTGTGACCAAACCTAACCGGCTGCTGCGCCTCCACCTCTCGGTAGTACTGCTGTGCGGCTCCACGCCCGGCAAGCTGTCAACATCGACTGCCACCACGCGATCAGCGGAGGGCAGGACAACCCCTGCTCCAAATTGAATTGTTCGCCTAATTGTGTCGGTGCCGTCTGAGACCCGTCGTGCTCGCTCTCCTTGTCGTTTGCAGGGGCTGAACGTGACGTCAGTGGCACTTTTCGGGAGCGTCGATTCCACGGAGCCCCCCGCGGCCAACGCCGTCGACATGGCGGAGACCATGAGCGTGGGCGGGCAGAGCAACGAGGGATCCACGTACAGCGCCCCCATCCGCCAGGGGCCCGGCGGCAACAGCAGTCTCGTGCTCGGCTAAGCGGGACCTAACCTACCTACCTCCTGCTGTATGCTAGCACGAAAGAAGAAAATAGAACAGAAGAGCTGGGCGTGTACATGGTGTACCATGTATTTCCAAACCTTTCTTTGTTCGGAAGATTGAAGAACGAGGCCACGCGAGAGCGCAGGCAAACAGCGCCCCGTGACGATCGCACTATTATAGCTGTAGCAGCTGGGTGAGAGCCAGTCTCATGTTGGTGTTATTACTCTCACCAGGAGAGAATGTGATTGGCTGAGTCACGAAGTACGCACATGACAGCCAAACCTGTATCATTGGAAGCGTTGCGCCCATTTTTGTTTCGATGTTCTTGTGTTGTTCAAAACGTAGCGTACCTAGAATACGATCATTTTTTTGGACGGAAGGGAGTGGGGGGGAGGGGCACAGTGATCGACGGTCAAGATGCGCCACTACGTTAGCCTAAACTGTAGAGAATGATGTTGCCGTTTTTTGCGCTCTCCTAGTCTTCTGGCGGAGGAAATGTGGCTTCGCTGGTACCTGCTGAGAGTCCTTGCGTGCAATCCTGACACGGAGTGCGTAACTGCTGTCGTGCGTTGTTGTGCGGGGGGGCTGGGGTCTGTGTGCAGTGTCGAGCGCGGGCGGGGAAGCGGGGTTCCGGTGTATTCAGGTGTTGCGTAGGCTGGTTCGTTTGTTTCTGTGTGACTTGATTACGTTAGAGAATGGAGGCAAGGCCGCGCAATGGTAATGGTGCGCCGTCCGGTGCGTCCCCTTTCCCGAACGTGCTTCGTTTGAATCGAAGCGAAAAGATGGAGACGGGAATGGGTTCCATTCATTCTGCATGCTATGATGATTGCCTCTTCCCCGCAGACTCAAAAGCAGTAGCAGAGGTGTCTATAGTCCACGATGGGTTGGCTATTTTCTCCTGAAAATGTTTGTTGTCACATGTCGCTTATCGATTGTCGAACAAACTCTCGGGGGGAAAGATGGGTTTGATTTAGACAGTAGAAATAATGAAATAGTGAGAGAGCAAGCGTCATTCAAATGCGCACCCTAACCCTGCCTGGCTCTCGCACAAAGGGGAGAAAAAACGAGTTTTTTCTGCCTGATCTGTCAGAGCAGCTGCTGCCTTTCCTGCAGGATTTGAGGTCGTGGTGCACACACACGTGTAAATAGTTAGCTGGGGCTAGGGACACGATTCCCAGAAACCGAACACCGTATGACTTACATGTTGGAACTGGAATATGGCAAGCGGCGTCTCTGGTCAATTGCAGTCGAGATAGCTCTCGTCAGTCAAGACGTCGATACTACCATTGAAAATGTGTAGATAGCCCCACCGGAAGGCTTACCACCGCAAGCGATAGCAAGAAGACACACACAGACGCACCAAAGACGAAAATTAGGAAGATACTGATGTGTAGGTCGTCGTCGTCTTCCGTGCGGCAAGCTTAAAACAGCAAGCGGTTGCAAGGTAAAAAAAGGACAGAAGGCTGGCCAAGCCTATCCCAAAATATGTCATGGTTGTGTTCGGGGCGTGAGGCGACTTGGAGCTACTAGCTGTTGATGAGGCAGCGAACAACTCGCAAGGGTCTCAGGCTTTCCTGTCTATTGTGGGACGCCCCTACTTGTAGTACTCTTGTACCTTGCTTTCGCGCATTTGTTTGGCTTTTGAACTTTGCCCGCTTCTACAAGAAATACTGTAACGGCCTTGAACACTAATGCTCAGTCTGCTCGGCGCTCGTCCAATGCAAAAGCTGAAGCACAAGAAAAACGTAGATGAATCATGTTGGTTGTGGACGTCCTATTGCTGGCCATCGTTAAAGAGGACGGTGGAAAGCTTGTCCAATGCAGTACACACTGGGCGAAAGCTGTGCCCTCTCGTTGGCAGGCAAAATTACAGCTATTGCAGTCATTCCAGCTGTAGATTGGACGGGGCTTCAATTTGGTGGAGGATAGGCAACATTAAGGCATAAATTAATCGAGATCGGAGCAATTTGATGCCAGAAGCACCTGCCGCATGCTCGTGTTTCGTGCTGAAAAGGCCATTCACCGACACAGCCAAACGTTAACGCAGGGGGCGCCAATCAATCTGAAACTTGCTGAGGGCTTCTCAAGTAGTGCAGGACGGCCGATGGTCTGATTTCTCGTGCCTCGGGTGTTCGGGTCAAAACAGCGCGTGGTTCGGAGCTTCGGAGTGAACGGCGACAGACAGACAGACAGACAAAACAAATTTGCCGTTCTGTGAAACCTCAAACCTCTAGAGACCGCATCGGTCTCCTATGTAGAGGTAAAAGACCAACACCTCACAAAGTGATTACACTTCGGGATGTTCCTTGGTTTTGATGCTGAACGAAAGTTGCCGGATAAGATAAAAACGGAAAAGGAAAAGAGTGCCAACAACTATGTGCCAGCCGCTTTCTTCTTCAGTACCTGTACTTGTTTTGAGAAAAGCGTCCGGCTTCAAAAGCTCGTGTTGCTTGTGTGCGGCTGTCGTGCGTCACCAGGGTCATCATGTCGTCCACCAAACTACAATCACACGATTCGTTTGGGGCATGACTATTTATTCGGCCTATCTCAGGAAGGTAAATGGCGAGCCAAGGCCTCATGACGCGGCAAAGCAAGCTCGGCGTCATGCTCCGCATGAACCACGGACCCCGTGCACCATCCACCCAAGCCTCCGCTCTCCGTTTACCTTCTTCGTATTATGGTCACAGTCGAAATACCACCTCTTCCGAAATCACTTATTCTATGATGTCCCTGCTGTCTCTGATTCCTCCTTCTATGGCGTGTTCATCGCTTCCCTATTCACTCTTATCATACCGCCCGTGTTATCTCTGCTTCCCCCAGAGGCAGCGCGTTGAGGGTTGAACCGCCCTCTTATCTCATAACCTCCGTTCATCTTCCATCAGCGTGGCTAACCTTCCTCCTCTTCGCCTCCTCCTCCTCCTCCTCCTTGGCCAGGGCCCGATCGTCTGCCGCATCCCGCCTATCCGCCGCAGCGTCAACGAGTGCTAGAACACCCCTAAACCCTGCTTCACCACCACCACCGCCGCTGCTATGCATGCCGCCAACCTCCCTGCTGCTTCCCCCCAACGAGTCATCAACGGAGACATTCACGCTTGCGGAGCGAACCCCGCTTGCGGCGCTCCCCAGAACCACCGCCGTGGTGACCCCCTTCGGTTTCGGCTCGAAGGCGGGGGTTCCGTGACCGAGCTGCCGAGGGGGGGGGGGGTGGTCCGAGGGAACGGCGGGAGGGTACGGGGGGTCGAAGTGGGATAGGGTTTGGGTCAGGGTTATTGCACGATCAGAGAGGACGATCCGCTCTCCATGGCGCACGTATGCTAACAGGGTTAGGTCGTGTAATCGCCACGTAGGTCAGAGCAAGGGGCATGCTGCGGGCCTTGTGGTCTCCGTGGAATGAATCGATGGGGCGGCGGCGGGAGGGGTGGCGCAGCGATTCTTTTCGTCTCTCCCAAAAAGTATTGGGCGTAGCGAATATCTCCCCCCAAAATGAAGGACGGCTTTCTCCGAATGGTGCACACATCGGGGGTATGACCACGGCAAAGCGAAGGAGGCATTGTTGTTTCTTCAATCAAAGCCGATTGTGAAGTCTTGGCCATTGATTCGCGGTCCATTCCAACTCGAGAATGATGTGTTCGCATAATTCCGAATGAAAATCAAACACACACACACGGTCGGGTTCGTGTTATCTGATGTGCTGACGTCTTTGTACCCTACATAGACAGGGTGCCATTTTCCAGACAATCTAACGGAGGCTACCCACAAAAGAACACCAGACATCGTCTAGCATCTCCCATCATCGACGACTTTCACCGCCCACCACCCCTCACATGTCCCGTCCTGCCGTCCCCCCAGGTGAGCACGGACGTGCCGCCGTCCTCCAGCCTTAGCCCGTGGCTGACCTCACAGCTGTTACCGATCCGGGCAGACGCATGAACCACCCCGACGCTTCTGTCCTTGCCGGCATCGTCCTCGTCGCTGTCAAACAGCAGCCGCCCATCCCTTGACACTCCAACCATGCCAAAACAAACGTCCATCCCCCACCCGGACTCCTCGACCTCGCCCCCGGTCTCCAACCAGCACTGGCCACGTTCGTTGTCGGAGGGCGAAAGGATGACTGAGGAGCAAGGGGCGTAGTCCGCCGACAACGGTACCCTTTGTTTCGACGGGTTCCCGTACCTGCTGCTGTTGTTCCCACCCAAAGCAACCCCGTTTCTGGGCTCCACGTCGTACACTTGCCCGGCGGGATCGATCGCCATCACCAGAGTTGTACCCGTGGCCGGCAAGCATTCGCACTGAACGCGCCAGCACCGCAGCCCGTCCCCCAAGCGGCCGAACTCGGAGAAGACCGCGCAAAAATGATTGCTTGTCATGGTCGACATGAGCCCGGAGAAGAGGACTACACCGTGGCGTGTGCCGAGTACGGTGCACGATCGCCCGGCCGTCGCGCAGGTCACATGGCCCTCGACGGCAACAACACCGCCGCCACGCGCATCGCCACCGCCGTTTGAACCGCCGGAAACATCCATGAGAGGGATAGCCACCCTGGTCGGCTTCAAGACGTCGTCGTCGCCCCCCCGACCGAGAACGCCTTGGTATCCCCACCCCCAGGTGAAAGCCTTCCCGCTCCAGGAAACCGCCACGGAGTGGGCTGCACCGGCGGCTACCTGGGTGATCCTCTCCCCTGCGAGGGAGTCGATGAGGGTGGGGCGGGACAGGCTGGCCTCGTTGCCATGCCCGAGGCGACCGTAGTCGCCGAGCCTGCTCCGTAGAGACGGGGGGAACGATGGCCGTCAAATAAACCGTTTTTCGATCGGAGCATTCCGCAAAACGGGAAACAAAACTTGTTGCGAGAGCTCGGACGGAGTATATCGCGATGCAATGGTCACAAATCGGCACTACCTGTGCACGAACAACCCCAAGTATCATGCGATTACAGTACTCGGAGGAACGCTCATGATGGTGACAACCTCGACATCGTTACATGTTTCTCATAGGCCCCCCAGAGTTCTCGCCCAACGCGGTCGGGAACACCCATGCTCATGTAGGGAAGACAAGACCCTAATAACGCCACATACAGCGCCTATAGAATGTGCCTCCCAGCATCGTCCCATAACTGGCTGCTCATCCACACTGAGAGTTTTTTTACCGAATATTCTGTGCGTTGCTCTGCTTGTGGTGGTCTGCCAGTGTCGTCCCATCGTTGCCCTTACCCGCATGAGTGCACGGTGCCAACGGCGGTTAGGATGAGCGTATGCCTCTGGCCGCAGGCCACCGCCACCACAGGGATACGCCCTGGAAACCGACCCCACCCTAAGTCCACCTCCTAGTTGCGGCAACAACGAAAATGAAGGCAGAAACGATTTGAGGGGCGAGGGTCAGGGTTGCGAGACGGATGCAATGCAATGCAGGGCAAGGCAAGGCCGTCTCCCCTCTCCTCTATCCCCTTCATTTCCGCTACTCCACATGAGATTGCCCGTGCAACCCGGAGCACGCAAAGCAGGAGAAGGAGGAGGAGGAGGAGGAGGAAAATACTTTGACCCACAAGGAAACGGGTGGGAGCGCACACACGGGAGAAGCCGCTCAGGGAGCATCGGGATGCAGCGAAATCTCAGCAGGATCGGAACGCAAAGGTCATCCACCCTTGTTGCTGTCGCTGTCTTCACATAAAAATAATTTGCGTCTCCGCTCCGTACCTTGCAACGTGGTCACAAGCCGACTAGGCAAGAAAGGGGTGCACAAGTCTGGAAGTCTAGAACGAAAAAATGGGCCTGAGGACACAGGCCACCGTCAGAGACAGAAGCCGGTGCCGTTGCAGTGGTCCCCTACTGCCAAAGGTGGATATTTCCTTTCGTGAGATGAAACGAGGAGAGATGTAAAGAAAAGAGAGAGTGGCCTCCAGAGGACAGAGGAAGGAGAGTCGAAGACTCCCCGCCTCCGATCTCGGCAAGCGGCCAAGGACTTCGGAAGAGACAGATCTCAAAGGTGCATTTCTTGTCACTCTCCCGATGGCAAGTTGCTCCGATGGATCGTATTTCCTATAAGTATGTGCACAAATGGTTGGTTGTATTGCCGAAGGATGTCCTCCACAGACCCAGAAAAAATCATCCAAACAAGGAAATAAAGTAGCATACTTGGACCCGAAAAATGGAAGTCTCATCAATGAAGCGTCTTGCGTCGAACGTGCTACGTATCTCGCCAGCCAGAGCACCTTATAATGCCATGCGGGATAGGATATCACCCCTTACCGTAAAAAGGAAGCGGTTCATCCTACCGCTCGATCCTAAGACGCCGTGCCTCCCGCTGCCGGCCGAGAGGGCGCGTCCGCCGGGGGTGACAACTGGCAAGAGAAATCGACAGCAACATCGGCAACGACCGACGTGCAGCATGGCATCAACGTCAGAAGCAAAGAGAAAAGGCGGTGGCAGCAGCAGCAGCAGCAGCAGCAGTCAGAGCAGCGACGAGCGGAGCGCGGCATACGTTCGGCTTCAGACAACAACAACGGTTGGGAGAGCAATCGCTGGTTGCAACATGATGATTAGACTAGGTACGTTTGGGCGCTTCGTTGTGAAATCTTGATTTTGACGTAAGATGTCAGTGGGACACACGGCTTCTTGACTCCGTGCTCAAGTACACGGCTGTATTTATAATAGCTGTACGTGACACGAGGTGGTTGGTAACTCGGCAAACTTAGGGTCGGAGAAGCCACGGAAGCCATGAAAGCGTCGGAATCGGCGCACATTCTGTCGATAGAGCCGCCTGCTACACAAGGGCCAACCAACAACCAACACCCACCCGCCGGGGGGGTTCGCCGGGCACCCTCGAAAACCGCTATTCCGTACCACCAAACTCCCACGGAACAACCCACGCATACAATCGCTCCGTGCCCCTTCGTCTGGTTCATCCTTATCCTGGTGAAGCGTACCCTGGGCCGGCGAAAACCCGGAAGGAATATCGCCCCGTCCTAGAGATGCGAGGCCAATGGTCTAACGACTATGGCACGTTTGCATGAGTGCCCCCCTCCCCCTCCACTCACGCAAGGAGTGCGTCTCCCCCAGCGACGCGCTGTACGCCCCCGTAGCGCTCGTGTCCCTCAACCCGCACAACCAGTCCACCACGCTAACATCGTCAACGCTGCCGCCGTTCCCCTTGAGTTTGTTGTCCTTGTCCTTATCCTTATCCTTGTCCTTGCCCCCATGGTGCGAGCGTATCCAGGGGATGGCGTTGCCTGCTCCGGGCTTGCCTTGGAAGAGGAGGTCTAGGACGCCGGAGACGTACCCCCGTCGAAGGGAGCGGAGACCGCTGTAATGGCATGTCAAGTCATGTCGGGATATTTCATGTCATCTCACGTCATGCCATGCCGTGTCATGCCATCTCAAGTCAAGTCATGCAATGTCAAGCCATCTCAAGTCATGTCAAGCCATGGAACATCATGTCATGTCATGTAAGGTCATGCCAAACACACGCAGGGTCGGGAAAGGTACGGCCGCAGCGATGCAAAGAGACGGGGGTTGTTGGGGGCACAAGATGAGCCTTCGTCTACGCAAGGATATGGCCGCTGTGATGCAAATATGGGCGGATTGGGATGCGTAACGGTTTCCGTATGGTGTGATCCAAGAAGCATATGTCGAAGTACACATCAAATCCCTTTAACTCCCCGGTGGGTGCATTCAGCGCATCGAGCTTCGTCGAAGAGGCCAGCGCGGGGTGAAGCCCTAACGGCATGAGGGTGTTGTACAGCCAGTAGCCTTCTCAGGGTTTTCATATTAAATTAAGGAAACATGTTTGATAAAGCATGCATTCGGGGAAGTTGGGTCAGGGTTAGGGTTAGGGAATAGGGTCTGCGTACCCCCTCCCTGTTCTATTTTCTTATGATTCTGAACTTCCCGCGAGGAGCTCCTGTACAGCAGTACTGTGTACTCGCCAAGAACCAACCCTAACCCTTAAGAACCAGGTGAGACCGACCGGGGGATGTACGCGCCCCGTGGTTGTGTTCAGCAGGTCTCGTTTCCCCTAGCAACTCTCTACTTTAAAGAACGCAGTCCAGGTGTGCGTGCCCACCATCACATAAAAGTCATAAAGTAATGAGGGACCGAGGACCGCGCGCTACCGGTCGACTAAAGATCATGTCATCAGACGTGCATTCAACGCGCGGGCTCACTTTCAACATCATGAGCAGGACAGCAAACAATTCCCACGACGCAGAGAGCAAAGGGTTGATAAACGGAACAAAAAAATGAACACAGAAACCCACGCAATCACGCACACACACACACTTACCGCGAAGCAGCCAAGAGGTGAGCCACGTCCCTCGGGGTGCCGAAGGGGACAAGGATGCAGCCTTGCAGGACCTCCAGCGGCAGGCCAGAGAGCTGGCAAGGAAGTATCCAAGACAAACACTGTACATATATGAAGTGCAGCTCATAGATGCACGCATCGGGAAACACAATCAAGTCCCGCCAGACGTATTGCGCGAGATTGGCGGTTTTGTTGGACAACGACGACGGAAAATGGATCGCGGATTGCGGGCGTTCGTCTTTAAACACAGCAACACAGCCAGAGCAGCCAGAGATCCAGAGCAGAGCGAGCAGGAGCGCGGTTGGGCAGAGAATGTACCGCGCGGCAGTCTCCGCAGATACACTTTGCGGCGTAACCAATTTCTCTCACCTCGCGTACCATGATAGCGTCACGCCTTCACCGGACCACCCAAACAACTGCCGCAAAGTGTGGCGATGCGCGGTGGAGAAGGTACACCAACTAACCCACAGTAGTAGTCCACCATACGCCAGCACGTGACAGCGTGGGTGGTGTGGGTGGTGAGTTTAAAACGCACAGCAAGGCAAGGGGGTAGGGGCCCCGCAAATAGGGTCTCCATCAATTCCTCAGGCATTTTCTCAGGCAGATTTAAAAATGCCACTGCCACTGCCGCAGTGCGCCAACAGCTTCCAGCCAGCTCTTCGCTGCTGCCTGCATCGCTCACTTGCCAGCTCTCCCTCGCAGTGCGGGCGGGAAGGGATGTCGGACTCTCTGCAGAGCGGCTTGACCTCTTCCGGAGGAAAGGATGAAGTGGACCGCCCGCTGTGTGCGGTCAAGTACAAGGTGTCACGGCACCAGAGAACGGTAGGCGTCGCGGCGAGGATGCCTCGACAGCGGGAAGGCATGGACGACAAGGTGCGGTGGCAGGCGGGGACAGCACGTGTACTAGTACCGTGTGTTGCTTCTGTCGTTCGGCCCGTTGCATCGTTGAAACCATGGCGACACGGATCTGTTAGTTATAATATGCATACCTCATGAATGGAAAAGGGACCGCGCGATTGGAAGTCAAATTTTGAAAAACATCTACAAGTACAGCAGTAAACGTATCCGCCTCCATTGCGCGAAGCTTCCGCGTGCTCGTGCAGACAGGTCGTGTTGTGGACCATGTTCCTGTGTAATAGTCCGCTTGTCTACCTAACTGTCTCGAGCATGCGGGCTGCGCGCTGTCGCACATGGGGCACGCGTCTACGGGGGGCCTTCGCGGTACATGACAAGACGGGAGTATGCGAGCTCTTTGAAATTTGAATTTCTTTTCCACCTTCCTACCTGGTCTGACGGGGGGCCTTCGCGGTACATGACAAGACGGGAGTATGCGAGCTCTTTGAAATTTGAATTTCTTTACCAATACCACCTTCGGACCTGGTCTGCACACACTCGAGGGCGAGGTCTCTTGGACAGCAACCACACCTTCACGCGTTGATCAAGGACCTGTTCGCTCAGAGTGCAGAGTCAGGGACAAGGGACACCCGCAACCTCGCGACAGCCATGCTGGTTGACGCGCTGAGTGTTGCTGCTGCTTTCTCTCGTTCTCTACTTGTAGTGTAAATTAGCGTCCTCAATAAACGGCGATGCGCGCCCGGCGCAGCGACCGGCGCTATTCAGTTGTACCTGTGACTGACTTTCGTACTTTCAGTCTGTGCCCAGCAATTCCACCGACGCAATATAGGGCCACCGGTGCTAATCCACCGGCGTTGTTGACCCCCCCCTTCTGTGCTCTACTGCTGCTGCGAAGGTGCAATGGACTCTTGTGGTCTACGAGTTCTTGGACAACGACCAGTTCAGCAACCTCGACACCCTCATGCTGCAGCTCGCGCCGGGGCAATGCCTGCTGACGCTGGATGCGGGCGCCGCCGAGGGAAAGCCGCGGGGTGACATGGCCAAGGTAAGCACCGGGATCAAGTTTGACCACGCTATATTATATATACGGTACGTCGGATACCACACCCCTGGATCGAGTTTCAAAACTCGCGTACCGCGAGAGGCGGAGAGATGGCACCCATTCTCAAAGCTCGATTGCTCCATATGTAGCCAATTGGGTACGGAAAGGGCCGGACAATTCTACGGAAAGCCCTCGACCAGATGTTTCCAAAACCACCCTTTTAAGGTGTTGGCACAAACTTGGTTGTGGAACAATCGAGTTTTGGAAATCGGTAAAGGGGGGGCCGCCATCTCTCCGCCTCCTACGGTAGTCTATGTACACACAGCAGCCACAACAGCAGTGGCGGTGCCGAGAAAAGCGGAACACTTTGGAACTGCCTCGTCGAGAGCGTTAAACGTAGCAGATGGTTTTGGAGTCTTCGCCACAAGTGGAGTAATCGAGCGTTGAAAGGGAGGGTGCGATGTCTTATGGTGCAACAAACACAGCTAACTCCTGTTGCTTTCGCTGTGTGTGAGTCCGCAGCATCACAGTCCCACACAGGGGCAACGCCCCGGCAAAGCTCGGAGAAGGCGCGCATTGTGTTTGGACGCTCGAGCGGGGTCATTATTTCGCCAGTCAGTCAGACAACTGTAGTTCTTGTTCAGCTTCATTTTCCGGCATTCCATCTCTTACAATATTTCTTCGCTACCTTTCTCCACTTGATCTGGTTTTGTGGATTGCTGTTGATTTAGGGTTGCTCTTTTTAGTGAAAGCCTCCTCCCTCTCCCTCCCGTGTGTATGACCGTGTTGGAACCTTTCATTCTCCCTCTTACCCAGACCTGCCGTATGCCACAAAAGGTATTTAGTTTTCTTGTAGGGTATGAAAGTTGAAAGTGATCCCAGGATACCGTGCCCCCTGGCAGACTACAGTATTACAGCATTACAGTATGCGGTTGCCCGCCCCTTTCAGGAGGTTACTGGTACATGCTATGGGTGAAGGTACCCTAGCTGGTTGCAGTTCTCGCGTGATAATAGGGTATTCCCACAGGATGTAACGTACCATATCTTTCCGCCCCCGTCTTACCAAACACAAGGATGATTGTAACCAACTTCTGGTTAATCCTTGTGAAACGTCATCTGGCCTGGGCCGGCGAGAACCCGGCATATCGCTTCGTGCCGGCATACGAGGTCTAACAACTACGGCGTCCGTTTACATGACTACCCCCTCCCCCCCGCCCTCCGCCGTTTCACGTGCGTGTCTATCTGTGTGCAGGTGCTCGCCGCAATGGAGCGGCTTGACGTGGCCGTCGAAGACGTGAAGGGGGGTCAGTTCAAGACCGACGACATCGCAGGGCGGATGAAGGCCCTCTTGGGGGACGCCTCCCTAGCACAGCACTCCCTCGCCAACGAACAGCCCCTCGGAAGCGCTTGCCTCGTGAGTATGTGGCTGGCGTACCCGCACCTTTTTTCGCTGCAGTCGTGATCGATGTGTCTGCTGCCGAGTACCTCTTGGCACAGGCGACCGAAGGGAGAGGATGATGATTTTTTTCCCTTTTTGTTGGTGGGGTGTTGCTGTGTTGGTGTTGGTGTTAGTGTTGTTGCTGTTGGGCGGTCTTGTTGTCGTTGATTGCCAGGCGTCATCGCCAGTGCGCCTGCGCGTTTTCAAGCCAATCCACACCGGGCCGGATGCAAGCGACCGTGGTACGTACGTGTCCTGCAACGTTGGTTCTCTTGCTCTCCGTGAGAACCAGATCTTCTTAGAGTGCTCTAACCTTTGTTGCGTTGTTGGTTTTGATGTCTTGCGTGTCACTCCTGCCGCTGCGGTTGATGATTTTTCTGAATCGAAGGCAAGCACATCATGTGGAAGGCGGAAGTTGGACAACAAACTTTATATGTCCTCCTGTTGACCCCGGCTGATGAATCAAATATGCAACGAAAGACGAAACACCACACTACTTCTTTCGATCCTACCCTCCCCTTGTCAGGCGGCATTGATGGGCCGGCTCGAGCGCGAGGACAAGGGCTACGAGAACGAGGAAGGAGAAGGAGAATCTCCCGAGATGCCGTCCTACGCTTTGGTGCAGGGGACGCTGCAGAAGCACCTGCGGCTCGACAGCGCAGCGGCGGCAGCGGTGACCCTTCTCCCGGACCCCACCGCCCCTCACCAATACGGCAGCCTTTTCGACGTGCTCAACAGGTGATTGGCGAACCACATTCCGACGTGCATGCGTCGTTGGAGGTGCATATACCGTGTATGTCTTGCTGCGAGATGGCTTGTGCTCTCTCGTGTTTGGGTCTCTTTCCCCTGAGCTTTTTGCTTGTTGGTTGGCAGCAGCAGCAGGAGGAGGAGCAGCAGGAGCAGCAGGAGCAGGAGCGTTCTCTTGGTTGTTTGTCTTGAATCCTAGTCCCAACCCTATCCCATCCTATATCCTACCCGTAGTCCTAATTTTCAACACAGCTGCGCACTTTCGAGGATCAAGCAAATGTATGGTGGTCATTTGTTATTTGCCCTACGCCCCGCCGGTGGCTGCACTGCGCGACAGTCTCAACACAAGTTACCGCCGTCCCTTGAGATTACCGTCGTCCCTTGAGATTACCGTTGTTGTGATGTACAGTTATCAGTGGTGTTGGTGCTGCGGTTGCAGTGACATGCATTGGCCAGTACTGTAGGAGGCACAGCAGTCGAACATGCGTTGATCTGTGAAGACAATCACCCCAATTTTTGGAAGTACACACCCCAATGTTTGAATAATCCCGGTCGCGAAGCCCCCCTCGTCCGCTGTTGTTGTTCCTGTTGGTGTTGTTGTTGTTGTTACTGCTGTTATTTTCTTCTCGTTAAAAGCCGTTCCGATCTCTGTCAATACCTTCTAAAGTCGGTTATGGTCAGACCGCACGCACGCCTTCCTTGGTCACGGGCTATTGATATCAGTACTTTTTTAGTGAATGGACCCAGAGAAATGAATCCAACCTATAGTAAATAGTATCCAAATTGCTGATAGCGTTCCAACTGATGCACGATACGTACGGCGCGCTGCTGTTGACACATGAGAGGAAACACTGCTTGGTGGGCGGGTGCTGCCTGTCATGCCTCTTCGTGGTTCATTTTCCAGCTTGCATGCCAGATCGTGTGCTGACTGCTGTGGTGTGGTGTGGTCCTGGGTGTGCTGTGGGTATGTCGTGTGGTGTGTGCTGTTCTTGGTGATAAGGTGCAAGACGAAGATGGGCAGCCGTTTGCTGGAGCGGTGGTTGAGGCAGCCCCTCACCGATAAGGTGAGGAAGACACCTGCCTTCCTTCCTTCCTTCCTTACATATCCTTACATATCCTTACATATATCCTTGCCTCAACATCCCACGACTCCATGAACCTTGCACCTGTGACATGATATTGATACTGTATGGTATATGGTGGCATGATGGCATGACAGCCCGGCGAACTCCGGATCCCTTGCTCTTCCCACATACGACCTCTGGTAGGTAAAACCGTAAGGCCGGTCGCCCTGAACAAGGCCGATGAAATCGCGGAACAAACAGATGGGATATTCCACTTGTCTCACACTCTGAATAGTGCCCGGTGCCTGTTGTGAGTCCACCCAAAGTTGAGGTCGGCGCAATCCGTTTGCATTGCTGTGCGGCCTTATGCGGGCATCACTGCTGCTGTGTTTACCCGGCACATGTTATTCCCCTCCCTCCTTCCCTTCCTTCGTTCCATGAGCCCTGTCTTAGGTAGCCTCAAGTCTTCGTGTCCTTACCTTGCAACCGTTGCCCGCACCGATAAGGAACTGTATATAGCCCTTAGGCACCAACCCGTCTTACCCAGGAAATAATTATTTCCTTGGCCTTTTCTCAGCTAGATACTGTCAAGCGAGACACTTTTAAACTATTATCAAACACGACTATATGGTGTATATACTCGGGTTGTCGTTCAACCCATCCCGACTGCCTGAAGTCGGGCACCCGACATCCACATTTTTTGACATGGCATGTCGCATCGAACGCTACACGCCCCGGTCTCTGACGTGAAGCTCCTTGCTGCTCTCCGGCAACCCCTTCTCTTTTCGGTCTCTTCTCGATCTCTTCTCGATCTCTTCTCGCATCAACTGGTTGCGCCTCCTGCCCGCTGCACAACACTGCTCCCGCTGCACAACGCTACAGGAGGAGATCGAACGGCGGCATGACATGGTTGGGCTGTTGAAGGACGAGGCTGGACTGCGGGGTTCCCTGCAAGACGGTCCTCTCAAGGCGTGCCCAGACCTCGATACCCTCAAGACCAAGATGCAAAGGAAGAAGGCGGGCTTGATGGAGGTATGGTGTGGTGTGTACCGCTGTGTGGTGGGGGGTTGGTGCATGGGGGAGAGACAGAAACCACGAGCGGAAAACGAAGTGACGTATGCATGGTGTTTGATGACGATGTGATTTTATTGTAGTAGAACGTTCACCTTTTATCCCGTTGTTGCTTGTTTTTCCCCTTACCTCATGTCTGAGGTCACGCAGCTTGACTTTTAACGCTTAGTCCAAATCCTTCTCACGTCCTGTATCAAGTTTATTGTTTTACTTGACGAGCACCCACGCCTAGACTTGAGGCCAACGGAACTTGCTTTGTTTTCCTGCCCTCACAACACAAACCAGTATGGTTCAAATCCTCCTATCCACGACGCTTTAAGACTTTGCATCGGGGCCGGCGTCATGCTCGTACGGTACAAGAAACACCTCCCTCCCGTCTCCTGGGTAGGAACGATTGGCCATCGGTGATCGGTCCTGTGGGAACAATGCTCCGTCCTCTCGAGGACGCGTGGTCAATGGTCTATCCGCTAAGGCAGGCAAAACATAAGAGTACGCCCCCCCCCCCCCCCTCCCGGCCTGGGCCGGGGAGAACCCGGCGTGCTCCGTCCCGGCTTTGTAGGGATGCGAGGTCAATGGTCTAACGACTACGGCATGCACGAATATGAGTACCCCCCCCCCCCTCCCGTCTCCTGGACCACCCAGGTGTTCAAGCTCTACGTGTTTTCACGGTCCGTGCATACCTTCGGAGACGTCCTTTCGGGGCACTTTGGTGAGGACGAGGGGGAGGAGGAAACAGAGACAGAGACGCTGATCAACGACAAGTTTGTCAAGGGGTTCGCCAAGCTCGCTGATGGTTTCTCGCGCTTCCTGCAGGTGAAGCGGGGGGGTTGTGGTCGGGGGGGCGCTTGTTGGAGAGGGATACTGTACAAGAATGACGGCTTTCCGTGCCGGGATGGTATTCTCGGGCGGGATGGACTGGGGGTTGGGGGATCAAGCATGCGACCGATACAGCGGTGTACAGTATAGCATAGTATAGTATAGTATGGTATTGCATTGTGTAGTAAAGTGTATTATAATCGTATAGCTATTTAGTATTGTTATTATTGTGTAGTATACAGCAGTTATCGTACGGGATAGGATAGTATAGTAGTATCGTATCGTAGATGTAGTAAAGCGTTTTCGCCTTGTCCCAGTTTGAGAAAACGCCGGGTGTCTTGTCCATTCACAGGCTGCTGTCTCTAGAATCAACCCATTTATCAAGTGTGCTCTAGATGTACCAGAGTCCGCAATATCGTCTTTCACTTGCCCTGTCCTTCTCTTGCCCTTGTCGCTGTTTCTGCGCTGGCTCCTTCTGTACCGACGCCTGTTGTGAGCATTTCTTTCGCGAAAAACGTAGCGCGGCACCCACTTGCTAATTTCTTCTGGGTGGTGATGTTGATGTTGTTATCGCGGTTGTTGTCGTTCTTGTTTTTGTCGTGGTTGTATTTTGATTATGTGCTGTTGCTGTTGTTGTCTTGGTCGTTACTGTTTTAAGTTTACAACGTTGTTTTATGTTGATGTTGCTCATGTTGTTGTCGCTGTTGGTTGTTACTGTTTTTTGTTATGTTGATGTGGCTCATGTTGTTGCTGTTGTTGTTGATGTTGCTGTTGTCTGTTGTTACTTGTACTTGTTTGTCCAGCTGGTGGAGCACGTGCTGGACATGGACGCTTTGCCCGACCTAGTCGTCAACTCGTCGTACAGCCCCGAGCTAGGGGAATTGAGGGAGGAGATGGACCAGATCAAGGAGGAGGTGGAGGACCTACACCAGGAAGCGAGGGATGGATGGTGCGACTTCGGGGAGAAGGTGATTGTGATTGTCACCATTTATGATAGTGGTAGCATGTTGGTGGTGACATGATGATGGTGGCATGATGGCGGTGTCACCGTCATGATTATGGTAATAGCACGATAGCATCGGTGATAAGTCAACCTCGTGCAACTGCTTAGCTTTGCCGGTCGGTCTTGTCGTCCTATTATTGTTTTGATCTGATGATGGTAGCACGATAGCATCGGTGATAAGTCAACCTTGTACAGCTGCTCAGCATTGTCGGTCAGTCTTGTTGTCCTATTTTTGTTTGATTTCGTTGCCCAGCTGGACCCTGTGGGCGTTGTTGTCGAGCATGTGCATTTGTTTTTTTCCATCCCGTTTACTTGTTGGCATACGATGCCTCCCAGATTATTCCTACCCTACGGCCTTTGCCTCTCTGGAATGTGCAGTGTGGATGTGTTGCAGTGTGATGTGATGTGTGTTCGAAGGGGTGGCAGACGCATACATGAAACCGGTACTGCTGTAGAATACCGGGTGGGGATTCGTCGGGAGAGCTAAGCGAGAAAATGCACGGGCTTGCGCCACGCCCACAGCTACCAGCTGCCACAGCTACCTGGTATAGTGTATACCCCTCAGATCTTGTTTATTCTCTGAGGACGCATCCGTTTGAAGCGATCGATGCCTGCGGTTGTCCCCCTTTTCTTCATCCCATCGATGGTAGCGATCACTCCTCGCCCTATCCCTCGTATTTTTCTTCTCCCTGACGTTGTTGCCACTGCTGCTGCTGCTGCTGCTGCTGCTGCGTCTGCTGGTACTGTTGTCTGTGTGTTTCGACCTTGGTCTCTGGTGCATTTTGATGCATCTTGGTGCACATTTGGTGCACATCTTGATGCACGTCTTGATCAGGACAAGTGCCTCCTGGACGAGGACAAGCAGAGAGGCTTCTTCTTCCGCCTCACCAAGGCCAACCTAGAGCAGGTGATGACGTCACGCACTGCCTGTACATGAGGTCGCGTGTGCTACGTATAGAGTCATGCCGTTTTGGTCCGTGTACCCAAGTCAAGGGACGGAACCCACGAGCAACGAAGGTCAAGTTTTTTTGTTGTTTGGTCGTCGTGAACGCTATCCCTGTCGTCCTCGTCCTTGCTGCTCTGTTGTCTTCTCGTATTGTTGTCGTACAGAAGGTGCTGTGTTGATTTCTCTTCTCGAACGAACCAAGGCTTGACGTACCAGTAGTATGCACGAGAGGCCGATCATCGCCCGGAGCACGATTCTCCCCCCGTACCCCTTCCACTTGCGTGGGAACTATATCGCCGAACAGACGGTGTGTGATAACCATGGCGCTGCCGAAGATTGAAGATCGAACGCAAGAGATACCCGAAAGAGCAATGCCAAACACTTCGTGTGTCTGTTGATGCCCGAACGAGCATCGCAGAAACTTTCGTAGCTTGACCATTTCAACCTTCCGCGTGGCACTCGCCGCAGCCCCCCCTCCCGTGGCATATCTGGTTTGGCACAGCAAACGCAAGGATTATGACCAGCTTCTGGTCAATCCTTGTGAAACGTAGCCGGGGTCGGCGAAAACCCGGAAGGCATATCGCTCCGTCCCGACAAAGTAGGGATGCGAAGTCAACGGTCTAGCGCTAACGGCATGCTTTTTACATGAAAACGCATTCCCACTCACATGGAAAACCGATTTTGTAGGAACTAAAACGGCGAAGAAAGGGTGTTGAAACCTTGGCGGTGCTGAAGAACGGCGTCCACTTCACCACTTCAGAGCTGAAGAAGCTGGGTTCTCGGTACAAGTCCTGCCGCCTCGAGTACGAGGAGAAGCAGTCCGGTCTCGTCGAGAAGGCCGTGGAGACGGCCGCGACCTACCTCCCGCTGGTGGAGTCCGCCAGTGCTCTCGTAAGCATCTGTGTTGTTTTGCTTTTTTGTCCTGGGGGGGGGTTAGCCTAACCCTAACCCTAACTTACTTAGTTGACTTGATACCTCCCGCTCGTGGCGTCTGCCAGAGGTCTCGTAAGCATCTTTGTTGTTTTTCTTTTTTTGTTGTGCATTGTTTTTCTCCCACTCACTGTGCGTGCTTGGAACACATTCCCCTTGGACTATTTAGTTGAATCTCGAACGGGTAGACTAGTCAGTCTTTTCTGTCATTGTATGCATAGTCATTCTCACGTTGCCGCATGACGAACCAATCCACACGAGCGTTGGAGGCTTTTCGTTTCGTTTGGACGATAGGCAGGCGAGGTATCAGTAGTTCCCTTTCACCTTCCGTCCCTTGAGAAGAGAAGAGTAGGACGGCACCTCCGTCGACAGCGCTAGAACGAACGCTACTGCTGTCGTCGTCCAAGACTAGGGCCGACATCGACTGATGATGTCATGATGAAGTATCGCTGTAGGGCCGGCCGACGCTGCTACCGTCGTGCAATGCAATGGCATCATGACATTGCGCTGTCGTCAATGCTCTCGGCATCAAATGACCTTTGTGACGCCAAGGTAGTGAACTGAATGCCTTCGCTATTGAATGACGCTACGACGTGATGCCACTGCCATGAATGCTTCATTCCGACACTGCAGGTGAGCGAACTGGACATCCTGGTGTCCTTCGCCGACGTCGCGGCCCTCGCTCCGACCGAGCTGGTCAGGCCCACCATGAAGGACAAGGGCACCGGAGTACTGAAAGTGATGGGGTGTCGGCACCCCTGCCTGGAGTGGCAAGACGAGATGAACTTCATCCCGAATGAGTGAGAGGCAGCAACGAAGCTAGCTCAAGAAGATGATGATCATGATGATCATGATCATGATCAAACAAAGAAAGAACTTGTGGACTGCCAGAATACCCGATCGTTGGTGTTCGGAAGGCGTTCTGCCTCATGCGGTACTTACGATATTTCCGGGCCCTGTCTGAGTCAACACTGAAGCCTAAGCCTCGGCGAACCTCTGCGACGGTGTACAGGGACGCGGTTGGTCTTCTGTCGTGTTGTGTTGCTTGTGTCTTCGGTGGCTCCACTTGTGGGAGTGTTGGGATGTAGAGTTTTTGCCATGACACCTCGATGAGGCGTGGACGCCCATCTATTCAAGGTCACGGTCACGGTTGGGGCTACTGCTAGGCATATCCTTGCGTACCCATGAAACGTCCCATTCTGTAGTCGGATCATCGCACTCAAGTCGTGTGCCGGGTGCGCAGTTTCTCCGACCGCCTCCTTCACGCCTCCGATGATCTTTCCCAGCCTACCCCGCCCCGCGTAGTTTGCTGCAACTCGTCACCCCTCTCCTCCCTGAGGCCCGTGCTATCTTTACTGCACTGTACTGTCTGTGCCAGAAACTGGCCGTTCTTGTTTTTTTTCGTGGTATTCTCACGCACTTTGTAGTAGTTCCATGCCATAGCCCTACCCACGAACATTCGCACGAATCTTGACGTTCTAGGCGACGCCCATTCTCCCAACTTTCGCCCCGCTTCTCCGGCGACCTTGATTTTACCCGCTACTGTCGCACCGAAGTACCTTGATGGATGAGCCGGTTCACGCACACGCAGTCCCATAATGAAGACGCACGGACAACTCACGAACGCACCTCCCACTGCCATCCACCCTTGTGACAATGACACACCCCGTCTACCGTCCACACCCTTCTGCGTCTTGACAGCTACGACATGTCCAGCGATGGGGCGAGCTTTGTCGTGGTAACCGGACCCAACATGGGTGGCAAAAGTACCTACATTCGAACGCTCGGGGCGGTGACCGTCATGGCCCAGGTAAGCAGCTAAAACGAAACGTTTCAATATCTCCAACCGTTAAGCCCAGGGGAGCTTGGGTTAGGGGTTAACCGGATCTTTGTCAGCTGACCTTCCGTCATCGCTTGCTGCTTGGCCGTCTGTGTGCCGTCGTGAGGGAGGGGAGGGTGGCATCTATGCATGGCGTGATGTGCTCTTTGTGTTTTCGATCTCGCGGGGTGCATCATCTCCGTAATTTCCCGAAGTATGCTTGCCGTCCCTTCGAACGCGAACATGATTAACCACGCGGTTTCGTTTGCCGTTGCGGGACTGCGCCCTCAGAAATGCTAGTACAGTAGTGGTCCCGGTATAATGCCGGTGCGATCCAGCCGAATTCACCGGCATTATAGCGAGCAATCGGCATTATTCAGAGTATGCGACGACTTGAAATTCCATCTGTGCCGGACGATATCACCGGCATTATTCCGGGAAACCGGCATTATTCGACCACGACTGCTGCTGCAGTGCTAAATCGTACTTGGGAGTAGTGCTGTATCAAGCAACGCCGAAAAATGAAGAATTTTAACCATAAGGTCTACAGCCCAAGACCGACGTGTGTATATAGGAATGGCTGAGGTTAGGGTTAGGGTGTTGGCGGTGCGTCGGCCGCTCGGGTTCGACTTGAACGTACCACGACGACCTTCTAGCGCCGAGATGACCTAAGCTTTTGAGTTCCTTGTGAGGCCGTGTTTGACCGCCGCCTGACGGACGTTTGTGTTTTGTTTTCTCTCGTTGCAAACTTGTTGCAAACCGTGGTGTCTCATTGTCGGTGCCATTCCATCGTTGGTTGCGTATGATGATGATCGAACCCACCGTCACAGGTCGGCAGCTTTGTCCCGTGCGAGAGCGCCGAGATGAGCGTCCGGGATGCGGTCTTCGCGAGGGTGGGAGCCGGCGATGCGCAGCAGCGAGGGGTCTCGACTTTCATGGCGGAGATGTTGGAAGCGTCAGCGATTATTTCCGCCGCGTCGAAGGACTCTCTCATCATCATCGACGAGCTTGGGCGAGGTCTGTGTCATTGTACAGTACCATGTGTTTTGTTGTTTAGCGGTTCTGTCTTGGTGAACTCCCTGGTCTCTTTGGCCCTGTTGGATGGTTTTACAATGGTCGTGTGTATTGTTTTCTCGCCTTGACTTGAGCATGATGCATGTGCGTGGGTTTGACACGTATTCTGTCGATGGATCAGAGAGAGACAGACAGAGAGAGAGAGACAGCGAGAGAGAGAGAGAGAGAGAGAGTTTTTGGTCACGAGAAATGGACTTTGATTGCTGACAGGCAGGGTTGGGGTTGCCTTCATGTACTATTATAGTAGTTCGACCACCGGCTAGTCCCTGACGAGTTTGCGACTGATTACTGGATGGCGAAAATACAACAAGCATTGCAAAGCCGAGCGGAGCTTCTAGATGATACCGTCGGTCGCTTCGATGTGCCGGGCCCCCCTATAATATCGCCCATGTCTCTGCTCCTTGCTTTCTCTTCCTCTTGCCCCTGTTGGGCAACACAACCACACCAACACGTCAACGACAACAGGTACGTCGACGTTCGACGGCTTCGGGTTGGCATGGTCAATCTCGGAGCACATCGTCAAGACCACTCAGGCGCCGTGCCTATTCGCTACCCACTTCCACGAGATGACCACTATGGCGGAGCATGACAAACGCGTCAAGAATATGCACGTCACTGCACAGGCTAAGGTAATACAGTGTACCCCACACACAACCTGACCCACCTTTGGCAAAGTAGGAAGGAAGAAGGAACGATTGGCCATCGGTGATCGGGCCTGTGGGAACAAAGCTCCGTCCCCTCGAGGACGCGTGGTCAATGGCCTTACCGCCAGGGCATGCAACACATGAAAACACGCCACACACACACAACCTGAGCCTAAGCTTAAGCCAGCATCACGCGCGTGTCCCAGCATGGTAGACTACTCTAAGGGGGTGTATTGACCTTTACCCGAAGCCAAGCCCACGCGTCACTCAAGAAGCCGTCTCTCTCTGCTGTTTGTGTCTGGGGGCTTTGGGGCTGGTACCGCTCATGGAACACGCTCTGCCGTCTTTCTGTTGCCGTTGGTGGTGGTCGCTCTTTTCTTTTCCCACACACTTCTTTGTGTAGGGCTATTATTGGGTTGTTTAGGGCTATTATTGGGTTACAGTAGGATTGACGTATCCTGGTATTAATTGGTTGTTTTTGTTGTCCCTATATAGATCTTTTACATCACGACGGGTTCGTTCAGCCAGTGCTATGCCTGCGGCTTACGTTGACCCTTCTCTCAGTTTTCCCCTGCACATGCTTGCTCCGTGCCTTGTCGAAATACTCGGTGCCATATGCCATCCGTCGTGCTTCTTCTTGTTGTGTCTGATACTCTATACTCTATACTGTATGCTCTATGCTGTATGCTGTGCACTGGATCGGACAAAATGGACATGTAATGTTATCGCCAATGTGAACGTTGTTCTCCACGGGAAGAGTTGTTGACACGCCGTGTCACCGTCGAAACATATCTCTGACTTGCAATCTGTCTCGTATGCCCCGCACTTGTACACGCGATATGTTCAATTCTTTTTCTTGTATGCATTCCTGGTATTCATTCCTCGTATTCCTCGTCTTCACGGCCCTTATTTCGTGTAGTGCTTTCCTTGTTTCTTATACTGTATATATTCCTTGTGATACATTTATGCTCTCACTGTTATTTGCACATTCCTTGTATTCCTCGCGTTATTCCATTCATTCCTTCCTTACTGCCATCAGGAGGACAAGATCACCATGCTCTACGAGGTGCGGGAAGGTCCTTGCCTGGAATCGTTCGGCATTCACGTCGCCACCATGGCCGGATTTCCCAGGTAAATCTATCTATTAACGGCATCTACGCCTCCTCCATGATCCACGCGAGCTACTACTGTTGTCTCTTTGAAGCGTAGGAGAGTGTCAGGAGGCCTCTGAAAATAGTATGGTAAATAACATGATCTTGTCTGCGTGCCGTATATGCCCTCCTCGAAAGCGAGGTCGATGGGGCATGTCGCTCAACACAAGATTACGTCGTCACTAGGTACGTACCTTCAAACGTGTCGTGAGCTTGACGGATGCATGTTTCGTCTAACCAAGCTCGAGCGCGCGTGTTGCCGTGATATAACGAATCAACCGCCTCAGTTTCGCGATTGCACCGAACTCATGATGGCCTACAGTCGTGTTGGCAAACGGCTCAGCTTCCTCCTGCCCGGCGGCACCAATGAAAGCAAGAAGAAAGTCTTGCCCAATAAAAACATAACCCTGTGTTTGTATGAGCGCATCTTGTCTGCGACTAGACAATGTGTGAGGGTGGACACGAGTAACTTGGAACGACGTTTTGGCGTATCACCTTGGATGTGTTGATGACCGACCAAGACCAGGAATTAATTATAGCGGTGTACCGTGACTGACGTGCTGCCATGACATGATACATGATAATGACATGATAGAGCCGTCATCCGAGAGGCGAAGCGCAAGGCGGCCACGTTGGAAAACTTTGAGGAGGCCATGGAAAGGACGGGGGGGGAAACGGGGGAACAGCGGAAGAAAACCAAGACGGACGGGGAGGGGTCCGGCGGAGGGCACAACACCACCAAGTTGCACCGTCTGCTGGACATGTTCAAGGTCAGCTTTGTCATTCTCGGTTCGCTGTTGATGCCGCTGTTGTTGTTGTTGTTGTTGTTGTTGTTGTTGTTGTTGTTGTTGTTTTGTTGTTGTTGATCGCATGATACAGGTATGTGGTCGGTGTACTTTTCTTAATTAACAATTAACCTTTTTCGACCGGCGGTTACAGTTGCTTGTCGTTTCGTGTCAATATGGACATGGGCATATGCAGGTTGTTCCCCCTGCCCCGCCGTACATTGCTACAATCCTACAGATGAATTTTGAAACGTCTCGTCGGTAGCCGAGGCGGTCCAGCTAGTATTGGGGTATCGTAGTGCCCACACCACGTGTTACGAGTATTTGCCTGGTCATGTCATACATGCTGGCATCATCCCATGCATGCTGGCGTAATTCCAACAAGCTGGACGCGCGTTTCACCCTGTTGTGTGTGCTTGGACCCTTCAGCCAGGGTCACGAAGGACTCATCAAGGACTATCCCGCCTCCACAATCCCGCCATGTTATGTTATGAACCCCCTCCCCCTCAAATATGCTGTTGCTGCCGTGTATCCCCCCCCCCCCGCGCGCGCCCTGGGCCGGCGACAACCCGGAGGGCATATCGCTCCGTCCCGGCATTAATGAGATGCGAGGTCAATGGTCTAACGACTACTGTACGGCATTCGCTTACATGAGTACACCCCCCCCTCCCCGCCCTTTGTTTACGTTTTCCCTAGGGATTACCAATCGACGTCATGAGCCCCAACGAGGCCTTAGCTGCCACCAGGCAGCTCGTCGACAAGCTCTACGTCGGCTCTGGGTGACTGGGCGATAGCTAGTCTCTCCGACAGAAAGCGCGAATGGTGGTTTATGATGAGGTCGTTGTCAGCAACACCGTTGGTTGATGACCGTGTGGCGACCGACGACGGTTGGTTGTTAAGCGACGATCAATCACTGCTTACGGCAGACATTTTCCGGGGGGTAGCATAGTAGCATGGTAACATGGTAACATGGTAACATGGTAACATGGTAACATGGTAACATGGTAACATGGTAACATGGTAACATGGTAACATGGTAACATGGTAGCATGGTAACATGGTAGCATAGTAGCATGGTAACATGGTAACATGGTAACATGGTAGCATGGTAACATGGTAACATGGTAGCATGGTAGCATGGTAGCATGGTAACATGGTAGCATGGTAGCATGGTAGCATGGTAGCATGGTAAATATAGATACTGTTGTGGATAGGACGAAATTGGCCTGCCATCCTGCACGATGAGGGACTGAACCTACCTACCGTATGTGGTGTTGGAGGGTTGCTCAACAGTGGTTAGTTTTCGCTTGGTCTCTTGGTGTCAATGCCTGTCTGATCCTCAGCTAATTTTACAACATATCATATTGTTGTGGCGCATGCAAATGTAGAGGTATTGGTGTGTGCAGTTGAGTTAGAGGTGTGAGCGAGTTGTGCCTGTTGGAAATATTGCGATTTGTTTGTTGATGGCGGCAGAAACAACACAACGCCTAGAGAGCTTGTGGATAAGCAATAAATGGGGCACGTGTTGCTGTTTCGGCGATCAACCTGTCGCTTGAATGGCGCCCTTCGCTTTGATTTTTGTGGGTCATTTGATTTTCAAAAGTATGTACCATACCATTTTTTTCCACGGGTGACAACGGAAGATGTCCGCGTCAGTTGGACCAAGACGGGTATTCGGAGGTTCTGCACAAAGCTCGGAACGGGTTTTGTGATGAAGACATCCCAAAACAACAGCAGAATCAACAACTGTTGCTCGAATGGCGGCCTGGTCACGCTTGAAAGCAAACGACGACGAAGTTTTTTCGTGGTTCTTTTGAAAGGGCGGACGGAAGCGACCAACGCGCCCACGTTCACCCACTAGCTACAATGCACCTTACAGTTTTTTCGCGCTTCTTTTGAACGAGCGGACGGACGTGACCAACGCTCCCACTACACTACATGACTGCTTTATGCCGCCGGTGATGTTCTGTTAATAGGCTATTCTTCGTACATCGGAGTTGTCCGGGATGCCGCATTTATCCACTAGATGAGAGTCTTGGGGGTGTGGGTGCGAAAATGAAAATGGAACTGCAGTTCACTCGGAACGAACGAGCGGCTAACTCTTCATACAATTTCGTATCGAGTACGGAACGTTGTGCTTACACTGGCACTATTCAGAGTATGTATAAAAAAAATTGAATATTCCATCGGTTGCCAAAGTATTTCACCGGCATTCTTCGACCGGCGCTAAACCGGGAGTATTACTGGAAGTGAAAACGAAAATAGCCAGTAAATTGGATTTGCGTTTCGAAACGCCACCCACGCCCCGCCACCGAGCACGCAAAAGGCGTTCGTTGTTCGTAACCGAACGAACACAATATGAACGTGCAGTTGGTGGCCTTGTGCCCGAAGCAGAAACAAGGTCACTCATCATACTGCTTGTAGGCGATCGTATCACCAGGCCGGCTTACAGTCTGCCGCCAGCTAGAAACACGCCGCGGTTGACATTTGACACAACTCAGCGTCGTCGCAGGCTTCAAAAGTTGAGATGGAGAAAATGAATTCTTCCTATTTTACGCACAGCAGCTGATGAGTTGTATCACAACGAAAATTAAATGTTCTTGTTAACGGTGTCTCGTTCCGACACAAGGGTTGAGCTGATCGACCAAGCCAGCCAACCCTCCAAAACGACCATCATGGCAGGTACACACGCTGCGTATTCCACGAAGCAACCCCCCCC